TTAATGCTACTTAGCCAGCTACGTTGCTAGCACATAACACATGAAGCAGCAAAACACAGTACCACGTCTCGGTGTAAGATATTCAAAGTAATGGAAATATACAGTGCAATTTAGGTACATCTTGAACATTTTAATACGAAAAAGCAAAGCAAGTGTTAGCTACATGCACGATTATAGGATGTCGCCATCATTAGTTACCGAATACACACCCGTTATCCAGTGTTAGTTAACCTACAACAGCCTTTGATAGTTCACTTTTTATTCAATAACATTACATTAAAGCTAGGTGTAGCAATCGAGTTGCAACATAACAAAGCCATTCATCAAATACAATAAATGAAAACATTCGTATTGTTACGCCTGCTCACTTTACCGACTTGGCAATCACCTTTCACAGCACGGAATCACCGAAGACTCCAATGCTCTACACTTAGGTACTCACATCCGCAACTGTACTACATGAACGCGCTCAGAGACAAGGTCCCCTTGGTGTTCACATAGCCTGAATAAATAAAAAAATTCTCTCGCTCCCATGGAGAAAGGAACCAATGATTTAAAAGACAAAAATTCACAGATGATGTATTGATCATTTGTGGTCGTCAAAATAATTTATTCACAGATATATCAGGGTGTCTTTTTCAATTGTTTCCTACAGAGAAATTTCTTTTTGCCCCCATGGCATCACGTGACTTTCAACATCAGCTTTGACCGCTAAGCCCATGTCGGCATGTGTCTCAGCCCTGGTTCAGATTCCAGTTCTTATAATACATCCATGCCATCAGCTGGTGTTCAAACGCAGCTACTCCGTGCATGCTTGGGCAAGCTTATGGAACTTGGGTTCAAGGTTAATGTGTTAATCATGGATAGACAAGCAACTAAACTAGCCACAGCCAAGATGCTTGGATACAATTTGAATTTCGAGTCTGATGACTTCTGTGCATCATTCAGTTTTCCTGGCAGTGATTTCAGAACTCTGAATGTGTTTCTGGATGCTTGCCACATGACGAAATAATGGAATGCAATGCAAGCATATGGCACCTTTTGCTCTCCAGCTGGAATGATAAAGTGGCAGCTCATTAAAGACCTTCATAATGTCCAAGGTGAAAGAGGGTTGGGTCTTGGGAATAAACTCACATCAAGTGATAATAACTTCAACACCCAAAAGGTGAAGATTGGACTGGCTGTGTAAACATTATCAGCATCTGTGGCATCAGCACTGGATGCTCTGAGGGTCCTGACATTAACCTACAGTCTACAAATGCTGGACCTACTGTGGAATTTATCAAGGCTAGGAAATTTTAACTTCTTAAATTAAACCGAATTTCAAGTCTGAGTGCATTTTGTTATCATGTGATTGTGAAAAATCATGGAAAGTCTGGCAATTAGTCTTGTGGTATTTTAAATGGACTACATACATGCAGTGGTAATTCATGTTTTTAATCATCCATTCTTTGTTTTATTTCAAAATCAGGTTTTAATTTAAAATTACATTTCAAACATGCCATTTGTGGTAAAAAAAAAAAAAAGACCTAATATTCTGTTCATTTCCATTTGTAGGCTTGGGGAGATAAAAATCAGTGTTACTCGAGTTGAATGCAATACCTATTGCTCCTCACTGGCACTGCTTTGAACTGGTTTTAGTGTTGTTGTTTTCAGAAAACAGATTCCCTGTTTGATGTCCTGAACAGTTGATCTCCATATGGCAGAAGATTTAAAAGTCCCATCAAGCTTGACTGTTGGCAAGCAACACATTTGTTTCTACTGGAGACGAAGCAGTACCTGGTGGGCATACAGTACGCAGGAAAATAGCTGTACAAATCACTTAGGTATCATTCCATAAATATAAATATTACACATGCCCTGACACTCTATACATTCATGAAGATCTTATTGGCCAATATAGAGGCGTGTATATCTGCTTGCTGTGAGGGGAAACCTGTACTGTTGGACTCAGCAGCAACATTAACAGCTTAATTGGACTGGTGGTGCAAGACGTCTTTTTGCCAGGGTTGCAGAACTTAAGCTATCACATAACTGTGGTACTTTTCCCATTGCCCAGCTCATGACATATTTTTGATATTACCTTAGGTACACATCACTTTTGCGAAAATTGAATTGGCACTGTTTCACTGTGCTATGTCTGCAGCATTTTGTACTGCAGGATGTTTATGACAGGGATGTGTTGTTGTTGAAGATGCGTACTCTGGATATTCAAATTGAAATTACTAATCACTACATTGGTGTCACTTGCTTGCTTGTACAAATTTTCTTCAGTGTCAGATACCATCATATTTCTAGATTGCACAATTTTAAAAAGGGAGGAAACAAAATTAGGTAGAAATACACAAAATAAGTTTTATTCAAGGACGAGTAACTGACAAAAGAAAAAGTCCAAAAAAGTTGCATACTCAAATATTTAGTTGGTACCCCTGTTGCTTTGATTACAGTGCAAATTCGTTGTGTCATTGTCTTGTATGCAAAGTCAGTACATTTATTTTCAGTCAGAGTTGCCATTATTTTTTATTCAAGGTCTTGTCATCACAAAGAGCTGGTTGAATCATTCTGTAGTCTTCTTGAGCCCATCCCAATAACTACAATACTGTAACATCTTAACGTCATTTGACATGAGAAGCTATGCACTTCATTATTGCCAGCTGAAACATTTTAATTGCCTCAATAATGATCCTAGCTTGCGAACAGGTGCTAGTAGTCGCTGAAGCCAATTTTTGCCGAGCTTGCGAGGCTAGCGCCTGCAATGATCTTTGTATTGTTTGAGTTCTGCCCACCTCTCCGCTTTAGTACGAGGCTTTTTCTGAAGCCAGTAGGCAACACGGCCAGAACATCTATACGATTCATTAAACTCTCAATTGCAAGCTCATGCTCCGCCTTCAGTTCTAGGACTCATGAGCACCTTAAAGATATTGTTTCAACAGCTTTTTTTTTGAGAGGATCCGTGTGATCTATATTCTCAGGCAACGCTATGTTGAATTGAATACACTGGGCTGTTTCTTGTCTCGTTTGTTTATACATATTTCATATCATTTATAGCCTGAGCGGGCTATAATGATCCAATCATAGGACTCATTCATTTATATCCAAACGGAGACTTTTTTTTTTTTGAAGGGCAGAGTATATCACAGTACAACCATAAAAAAATGAAATGCTTGTTGTTCTACATGATAATGTCATCTTTCTTTCATTCCAGAAGTTCAAAGTTGAAATCGGGGAATGGGGGGAGATATCCTGACAGAAGGTGACTGATGGCAGGAGAAGCGTATGGGGCTCGCAAAGCAAGCACCCTTGACGGTGGGGGGTCTGGGGCCCGCTGAAGGGCCCCAGGAGCTGGAGCCCCCAAGACGAATTCTGGTGCATTCTTGGCCTCTCCTGGCTCCAAATCTCAAGTTCAAAATCACAAACCTTTCTCAACAAAAAAAAAAAATTAGCAACACTAAATATCATTTTATTGACAGTTGATATATGTACCAACAAAAATACTGAATAATAGTAGATAAGAAGCACCTGAGTCACAAGAATTCTGAGCATGGCTTAAATTCAGAACAAAAAGTACCTTTATTCATTACGTTTAAATAAATACCTTTAAATACCAATAAATACCCTTACTTCAGTTTTGACTGTCGACTTTTTGTTTTGGTTTGATTTCAGAAATCTGCATCCGTTCTTTGAGCCCCACCTAGCGAGTTGTGGCATCAGCATTACAAGAATAGTGTTTTAAAAATGTGCGCAGGTGGCATTTTGGCATAAATTAATTGCACGTGCAGATCGATTTTAATAAAAATAGAATTTCCGAGGACATGATGTTATGTATGAGTATTTTATGTAAAGCACTGTATATCATTTGTAAATGGAGATTTGTTACATGCTGTTTTTGCTGCCTTGCTGGTCAGCTGTTTATTTTGTTCATCAGCATCCTCTGGTGGTGTGTCTGTAGCAAAACATGATCTGATGTAATATCACTTCTTTGTAATAGACTAGTGCTTTCTAGAAGCTTCTGGCATATTCCTGCCTGGAGGGGGCGGGATTACCCAGGAATCCTGTAGATGTTTCCAGAATGTTGCTAGTCTATATAAATGCTGTGATTTTGGTCAGTAGGGGGAGAGTTTTTTTTTTTTTTTTTTGGCAACAGAGTTACATAGTGGCATTAGAGTGTTATTATAGGATTGAACAGTGGATTACTTGTAAAGTTTTTTTTTTTATCAGTGAAGAATAAATTTGTTTAAGTTGTCATTGCTGGTTTCTTTGTTGAGATTTTCAAGTCATAACAATGCCAAGAAAGCGGGAGATTTTGATTGCAAACAGGAGGTCGGGAGGTTATGTGTGATTTATGTAAAAAGTGAGATATTTCCCGCCAAGTCGGGAGACTTGGAACCTCTGTCATTCTGATGTGTTGATTTTGCTAAAAGAAAGCTCTTATTCTATCATAATATTACATAATCTAAAAATACCCTCAATATATGGCAAATTTCAGTAACATTCATCAAAAAGAGGAGAGCAGGTCAAAAAATGTGCGTCCAAATGTGTGTCACAACAACAGGACCCCCCCTTTACAAATTTCTGGAACAGCCCTTGCTGTTTGCACATCGTCGTCATCATAACCTTATTGTCACAGTCTGCTGCCTCTCCCTCTGCCTGGCCACACCCCTTCCACAGCAATTGCTCTCAGCTGAGTCTCGTTTACCAGCCAGTATATAAGCAGCTCTGTTTCACTAGCTCATTGCCAGATTGTCATTGCAGCATGCACTACTCTCCAGCATTTACCTTCGGTCTGACTTCCTGGAATCCACTCTGCCTGCCTCTGACCACGTCCTCTTGTTCCTGCCCCTGTAAACCTGATTGTCTTATGCCTCTGACTCTGAGTTCTGCCTGTGTGCTTCCTGGTTCCTGTCTGCTGTCTTCCAAGCCCCTGTCCAAGCTACCCATCTTGCCACTCCACTGCCTGCCTGTGTGGATACAACCTCGCCTGCCAAGCTTCTAGCCAGCCTGCTCCCTTGGCCTAGTGGTAACTCTCCCGCCTGCGGTATGGGTGACCCGGGTTCGATTCCCGCTATGGGCGCCTGCTCCAGTGAGTTGCCAGAAGAGCTCCACTCCAGACCCACAAGCTCCAAATGCTGTTCTGCATCTAGTTACTCTGCACTGCTTTCTATTTACCCCTGCCTCAAAGTCATTAAGAGCTGTAAACATCCACTCGCTCTGATTGTGCTGCTTTTGGGTCCTGCCACTCTCTGTGTCAGTACAATCTGGCCAGAAATGGACCCAGCACGCAATCCAACTCCGACTGGAGAAGACTGAAGCCATCCTCCTGCACCATGAGGCCGTGATGTCTACTGCCATCTCTGACACCAGGCAATCCTTCGCAGCATTAGCCGACCAACTGCTGCAGCTGACAGCTATGGCAGCTCACTGTCCCTCCTGAACCTGTACCGGCTCCTGATCCGGTGCTACCCATGGCCGCCCCAGAACCTCGAGTTGGAACCCCTGAGCGATACGACGGAGAACCTAGGACCTGCGGCCCCTTTCTGACTAACTGTTCCCTGTTGTTCTCCCTCCAGCCCCGTAGCTTCGCCTCAGAGCAGGCAAAGGTGGCCTTCACAATTAATCACCTGACGCGCCAGGCTCGCCTGTGGGGCACCGCTGAGTGGGAGAGACATTCTCCAGCCTGCGTCTCTTTCCAGTCCTATGCCGAGGAGCTTCGCAAGGTCTTTGGTTTGGGGGTCTCTAGCTTCGAGGCTGCTCAGGGGCTACTGACCCTGAAACAAGGGAACAGGATGGTGGCCGACTACTCCATCGATTTCCACACCAGAGCCAGTCGGAGCCGCTGGAACCTTGCAGCCCAGGTGGACGCCTTCCTCCATAGCCTGGCGGACTACCTCAAGGATGAGCTGGTCTCGTATGAGGTTCCCCCCACACTCGACAGAATCACTGAACTAGCCATCAGAATTGACCTCCGCATCCAGGCCCGTAGGCAGGAGAGAAGTCAGGTGGCTCTCCGCTGCCAGACACCAGTCCGGTCCAGAGCGGGTTCCACCCGATCATCCACCTCACCTTTTCCGCAGATGAAGGAGTCTGAACCTGTGCAGCTGAACCGTGCAGCTGAACCGCATCCCTCTCACCCCAGAAGAACAGGAGCGTTCACGATGCCTGAACCTGTGCTTGTATTGTGGGAAGGGGGGGTCACTTTGTCTCAACCTGTACGGGAAAAGCCAAGGATCACCCGTAGCCAGGGAGGTATGGGTGAGCTCGACAACACTACCTCCCTACAACCACAGACCGCATCTCCAAGCCCAGCTCCTTCTTCCTGACGGTCCCCTCACCTTGGCTACCCTGGTGGATTCGGGTGCTGACGCCAGCATCATGACTGAGGAGTTGGCTTAGCAGTTGGGGCTTGATCGGGTTCCTCTGCCTCGTCTGGTCCTCATCCGGGCTCTTGACGACCACCGACTGGGTACCATTACCCACCAGACCACCCCAGGTCCCATGCTCCTGTCCGGCAATCATCACGAGACCATCCAGTTCCACATCCTGAACTCTCCGGGCTTGCCGTTAATTCTGGGCTATCCTTAGTTTCATCGTCATAACCCCCACGTTGACTGGGAGACCAGCTCCATTCGTGAGTGGGGAACATCCTGCCACCTCACCTGCCTCAAACATACCTCTTCGCCGTTCCACTGTCCCACCACCAGTCCTTCGCCTGATGTCTCTGGGGTGCCTTCCAATTACCACAACTTCCGACAGGTTTTCAGCAAGGTCAAGGCCACCTCTCTGCCCCCGCATCGGCCCTACGACTGTGCCATAGACCTAGAGGCCGCCTTTACTCTCTGTCTGCTCTCGAAAGGAAGGCCATGCAGACTTACATCAACGATTCCCTAGCTGCAGGCATTATCTGCCCCTCCTCGTCTCCTGCTGGGCCGGGCTTCATCTCTGTGGAAAAGAAGGATAAGACCTTGAGACCCTGCATCGACTATCGGGGCATGAACGAGATCACAGTCAAGAACCGCTATCCCCTGCCACTCATCTCTTCCACCGTTGAACTGCTTCAGGGGACCACCATTTTTACGAAGCTCAATCTCCGTAACTTTGCCTATCGTCTGGTCCGCATCAGAGAGGGGGACGAATGGAGGGTGGCATTCAACACCCCTGCAGGGCACTACGAGTACCGGGTCATGCCTTTCGGTCTCATCAACGCTCTGGCCGTCTTCCTAGCCCTGGTCAATGTCGTACTCCGTGACATACTCAACTGCTTTGTCTTTGTTTACTTGGACGACATCCTCATCTTTTCGAAGACCTGGAAGGAGAACGTTCATCATACCCAATCTGTACTCCAGCGCCTCCTTGAGAACTCCCTGTTTGTTAAGGCTGAGAAATGCTAATTTCATGCCTCATCTCTCTCGTTCCTGGGGTGCATCGTGGCTGCGGGAAGCATCCGGATGGATCCAGCTAAGATCTCTGCAGTCACCTCCTGGCCTGTCCCTGAATCCCGCAAACAACTGCAACGCTTCCTGGGGTTTGCCAATTTCTATCGCCGGTTCACTCGCAAATACAGTTCAGTAGCCACCCCTCTTACTGCCCTCACCAGCTCCAAGGTGCCCTTCCAGCAGTCCCCTGCTGCTGACGAGGCATTCCAGACCCTGAAGACCAGATTCACCTCTGCGCCCATCCTCCAGATGCCAGACCCAGATCGCTAGTTTGTGGTGGAGGTGGACGCCTCGGACGTGGGGGTAGGGGCTGTCCTGTCCCAAAAATCCGCCTCTGACCAGAGGCTTCACGCCTGCGCCTTCTTCTCTCGGTGCCTGTCTTCTTCCAAGACTAACTACGACATCAGGAACAGGGAGCTGTTGGCAGTGAAGCTGGCACTGGAGGGATGTCGGCATTGGCTGGAGAGCGCCAGGGAACCCTTCTTAGTGTGGACTGACTATAAGAACCTTGAGTACATCCGCACTGCCAAGAGGCTGAACTCCTGCCAGACCTGCTGGTCCCTCTTCTGCACCCGTTTCAACTTCCCCTTTTCCTACCGCCTGGGATCCCGCAATGCCAAGCCTGATGCCCTGTCATGGCAGTTCCTGAAGGGGTAGGATTGAGCTGAGGGGCCTGCTTCCATCCTTCCCTCCCCCTGTGTCATAGTCGTCCTATCCTGGGACATTGAGGAGAGAGTGAGGGCCACCACTGAGGGTCAACCTGGTCCCAGCGCCTGTCCCCCTAACTGTCTGTACTTCCCTGAAGCCCTGAGGTCAAAGGTTCTGCAGTGGGTCTGTGCCTCCAAGTTCACCTGCCATCCTGGTGCCCAACGTACCCAAGATGTCCTCCTCCAACGCTTCTGGTGGCCCACTCCGGAGGAAGACATCCGCAATTTTGTTAAGGCGTGTCCCATCTGCAACCAGCACAAGGTGTCCCATCAGGCTCCTGCTGGAGTCCTCCAACCCCTTCCTGTCCCACATCGAGCTTGGTCCCACATCTCTTTGGACTTTGTCACGGGCCTTCCACCCTCAGACGATAACACAGTTATCCTCACAGTTGTCGACCGCTTTTGGAATATGGCTCACTTCGTCCCTCTGCCCAAGCTGCCGTCAGCTAAGGAGACTGCACAACTGGTCCTGCTCCACGGCTTCCATCGGCATGGCCTCCCTGTGGATGTGGTGTCCAACCGGGGTCCTAAGTTCTCCTCAGGCTTCTGGAAAGAGTTCTGTAGCCTGATGGGAACCACTGTCAGTCTCTACTCTGGAATTCATCCCCAGTCCAATGTACAGATGGAGCGGATGAATCAGGAGATGGAGACTGCCCTCCACTGCATGGTGTCCCAGAACCTGTCCTCCAGGTCCAAGCAGCTCCTGTGGGTGGAGTACACCCACAATTCTCTCACTATTTCTGCTACGAGCCTCTCTCCATTCCAGTGTGTCTATGGCTACCAGCATCCGCTTTTTCCGGCCTTGGTGAGAGAAGTTTCCTACCAGTCAGCTCTAGCCCTCGTCTGCTGCAGTCGCCGAACCTCGGCCCAGGCTCGCTCTGCCCTCCAGCGCGCCGTTGGGCACTACGCCACCTCGGCCAATCGGCGGTGTTCTCCTGCCCCTGTCTACCAGGGTGGTCAGAAGGTGTGGCTCTCCACCCGAGATCTGCCTCTCCAGGTGGAGTCTAAGAAGTCTAAGACCCAGGTTCGTCGGCCCATTCCCCATCCAGAGGGTCATCAGTCCGATGGCAGTGAGGCTCAAGCTTCCTCACTCCATGCGGGTTCACCTCTCCTTCCATCTGTCCAAGGTGAAGCCGGTCCATGAGAGTCCTCTGTCACCGACTGTTGCACCTCCTCCTCCTCCTCGACTAATCGATGGGGGTCCAGCTTATTCCATACAGCGCCTGGTCTGGTCCCGTTGTCGTGGGAGGGGAGTTCAGTACTTAGTGGACTGGGAGGGCTATGGTCCTGAGGAGAGGTCTTGGGTTCCTGCTTGCCACATCCTCGACCCGGAGCTCATCACTGATTTCCACCGTCGCCATCCTGACCAGCCCTCCAGCACCGCCGTGCCTTCAAGGAACCCCCGCCTGCCGGCCCGCACCTCTTCCCAACCTGATCTCCCTGTGGGGGATTCTCCAACTGAGGAGCCATCGACTGACATGGACTCTGACCACTCGGGCTCCTCTGACGATCCTGTTGAGGAGCTGTCGGTCGATATGGACTCTGACCACTCAGGCCCCCCTGACAATCCAGCTGAGGAGATGGACTGATCCGGCTCAGAAGAATATTAGGCCCCGCCTCCGGCCACCTCCGCTCACCCGGCCTTGGTGGACCTTCCCTGTGAGACGTCAGGAGCCGTCCCTTTGGGGGGGGGGTTTGTCACAGTCTGCTGCTGCTGCCTCATCCTCTGCCTGGCTACATCCCTTCCACTGCAATTGCTCTCAGCTGAGTCTCATTTACCAGCCAGTATATAAACAGCTCTGTTTCACTAGCTTACTGCCAGATTGTCATTGCAGCATGCACTACACTCCGGCGTTTACCTTCGGTCTGACTTCCTGGAATCCACTCTGCCTGCCCCTGACTATGTCCTCTTGTTCCTGCCCCGGTAAACCTGA